CGGGGGGGGGGGGGGGGGGGGGTTGACTGACTCTGTGCCTCCCCAGGATTTCAGCCAGAGATTTTCTAGCTTATCCAGAGGCGCAGGGGTTTTACTTCTGCCTCATTTTCAATCCCCTTTTATTCCTTCTCCTACACTGAAGAACAGACAGTGAGCAAAAATAGAAAGCTGAAGACCGACGCTAGATTTTAAGAGATGACAGTTGATTAAACGTTTTTCTTCCCAAAATCTAGATAGATTCTGCTGACATTCACAATAGTGGTCTTGAAGTGCAGCTATAATGCAACTGAAAATGTACCAGTTGAAGACCATAACTGTGATTACTGAAGACATTCTGAGCACTGTTGAACTCAGTTATAACAGCAAGAAAGGCAGAATTGGAATGGAGGATATAATCAGTTTCTGTAGTTAAACATTTATGAGAACACAGTGATCTGGTAATACATAGGGGGCAACTTACATACTGTATTTACCTTGAAGCAATACTATTTTTATATCAAATAGTTTACCTTTAAAAGAAGAAAGCTGCAAAGATTAGCTGAGAATATGATAATGGGTGCTGTCTAATCTTTCAGAGTGCTGGGGGTGGGGTGGGGTGGGGGTGGCAACTGTTTTCATTCAGGAATTACTTCCCTTTCAGTAAATGTAATGCTCTCCTTTTCCTTGTAAATATTTTTCAGCTTCACATCTCCGTTCATCCAATCACTTTTTCTTCTACCAGATTTCTCATTTTCCCCTGAAACCTGAATAGAAACCTACATTAAAGCCACAATCTTTTAAAGAATTAAAATTTTAGATTTCTCTCAAATGAATTCTACTCAAAACACAAAAGCTGGCAGCATAGATGTTGAGAGATTTAAGTCTGCACTATCTGTAAACATCTGAACACTGTAGTGTACACACAGGCTAGGTCTGTACTCTATAAGTGAACTTCCTGGATTTTGGCATGTATGGCCCTATGATTCCACTCGGCAGAATCCAGGCTCAACTAAGAAGTTATGAACATCCAGAAGACAGTGGCAAACCACTCTTACTCTCGTGTGAGAAAACGACATGGATGCACCCATGAAATTATCTGGACCTGAGCTCTACTCAAAGGAGACTTTATTTTTGCGCTATGTGAACACTGCTATATCTGAAGGCAGCCCTTAGGGCTTATTCAACGAACAACAGGTAGAACAAATCATGGTTTAGTGCAACATGTCAATTTAGTGACAGAGATAGACAAACCATAGTAGACGTTTCCCAAATCTGTTCTCATTCTAACCCTAAAGGTCTGTAAGGAAAAGTAAGCTCTCTCTGTTCAGTGATGCTCTCTTTCAAGAAAGAGTGAATAGATCTGTGCCTTTTAATGTGGCTCCTTTGCATTAAAAAGTGGCCCACTCTTGATATTAGTAGTGGCTTGTTCTGAGAAGGTAAAACACAGATGAGATGCTTGTATCCTATTGATAATATAAGTCCTGTAACTATCACTTTTATATCTATACAGTGAGATTTGCACAATAGATATTGCAAGTGCATCTAAAAATGATAGCCTGGAAGTGTTGGAATTGGCTTGGGTACAGCCTAAATTAGAAGATGAAGGGAAGTAAAAAGTCTACGATTAACCACTGAGATTTCATGTGCCCGATCTGAGTATCATACAGTCCACAGGATTTTGACTTTGAAACATCTGAAAATAAATATTATTGTTTAACTTGTTTTTCTTCTTGCTTTTTTTATAGTGATAGATGAGATGTCCCTGGCAGTTACAAACTGGGGTAATCAATCCATGGCCCATGAGTTCATCTTCCAGCCATTCTCCACTGTTCCTGAGATACAACATCTCCTCTTCGCTTTCTTTCTTTTGCTCTACCTCATCATCCTTTTTGGTAATATCTGCATCCTTTGGGTTATCTGCACTGTCCATTCCTTGCACACTCCCATGTATTTCTTCCTGGCTAACCTCTCTTTTGTGGAGACCTGTTATGCCACTGTGGTAGTGCCTCAAATGCTCTCTAGCATTTCTGATTTCCACAGAACCATCCCATTGGTGAACTGTGGCATTCAGATGTTCTTTTTTACGACACTAGGGAGCACTGACTGTTTTCTGTTGGCTGTCATGGCATACGATCGCTACGTAGCCATCTGCCACCCACTTCGCTACACCCTCATCATGACCTGGCGGGTATGCATATGGCTGGTGATTGGCTCCCTGATCCTTGCCGTAGTTCTGTGTCTGGAGCTAACTGTCTTGATTTTCAGCTTGCCTTTCTGTGGTTACCAACCCAAGATCCACCATTTCCTATGTGACGTACCACCTATGCTACAGCTGGCATGTGCCGACACCCATCTCCACCAGATTGTGCTATACAGTCTTATTAGCATCATAGTTTTAATAATTCCCTTTCTTCTAATATGCATCTCATATGTCTATATTGTGGCTGCCATTCTTCAGATTAAGTCCTCATCTGGGCGGCAGCAGGCCTTCTCCACCTGTTCCTCCCACCTGACCGTTGTGATCCTACAGTACGGCTGCTGCAGCCTTGTGTATATGCATCCCAAGTCCAGCACTTCAGAGGATGAGGATAAGAAACTGGCTCTAATATATACCTTTGTCACTCCCCTCCTGAACCCCCTGATCTATACCCTGAGGAACAAAGACATGAAACAAGCTTTAAAGAAGGCCATTAAGAGAATGGTTTCATCTCAGACTTGAGTCCCAGTTCATCTATAATATTATTACATCCTCAAAACCAGCTCTGGATTAGCATCCATCACAGAAGGAAGGAATCTGGAATCCTTCAGGTTCATGTTCAGGCAGAACATCTCCCAGCATCTCAGCATTGTCCATGTTGCCTGGGGCACTGGGTTGTATTTTGTCACAGGTTCTCCATTCCTTATCTGCTTAATTAAGTACACTATGGTAGGACTCTATAATAGGCCTGAATCAGCATGAGATATTTTAATAATGGACTCTGCACCTGGCAGAAATGAATTTCCATATCTGGACAAGTCTATATGGGCAAATTAGACAGTCACCAACCTGCCTAGTTATGTGGGGCATCCAATTTCAAGAAAAAAAACCTCCCATAGAAGAGAACATCTGTAGCTCAGGGTTGAACTGTGGAGTTCTTGGTGCTCTCTGAGCCTGATTGTTTGCTTGCAGGCATTTCATTATCCAACTAGTAACATCATCGGTGCGAGCAAGTGTGGGGTTTGCTGCCCATTTATATACAGTAGCTTGTCCTTCCAGCTTTGGTGGGGGTGTAATTTCCTCCTTGGTGGTTCCTTGATTGAATTATACACCATTCAAAAGCGACAATAAAAAACCTAGGAAGGAAACACAAAGACTAAAACAGCCCACATTCAGATAAGCAGGGATCAGCACCAGGCCAACAGCCAGGGAGAAAACAATGCTCTAATCAAGGAACCACCAAGGAGGAAATTACACCCCCACCAAAGCTGGAAGGACAAGCTGCTGCATATAAATGGGTAGAAAACCCCACACTCCCTCGCACTGATGTTGTTACCTAGTTGGGTAATGAAACATCTGCAAGTAAACAACCAAGTAGAGAAAGCACCAAGAACTCCACCCCCCGCCCCCAAATCTACAATTCTAAAATAAAAAATCTATTTGCTTTGGGATTTGGGGTAGGGGCATCGATTTCATGGCTTGCCTATGGCACCAAATGCTGGCAACTGCTCTACAGCCACCCCTATTGCCCTCTCAGTTCAGTTGAAGACTAAAAATAAAGGCATATGTGGTTTGGAACTGCAGCAATTTTCTCTTCCAGTCTTTTTATTATATTGTCTGATTAACAAAGAGAAGAACTTGAGAGGTTACAAGTTAATAAAGGTATGGCCTTGTATGAATATTGGGAATTCTTCCGGAAGAATTTTACTGGAGTTTGAATTGAAGCAGTCTGTTCTTCTGACTCTGTCACATTCACATCCTGGTTGGAGTAAGATCAGTCTCAATTCCTGCTTTGCCCAAAAGAAAAATATTTGATGCATTTCTTGGATTAACTCAGAGTATCTTGATTGTTATTCAAATATTTGCATTTTAAAAATAAAATTTAAATCTCTAAGGGCATTGGATTGCAAAGCTGTGCCATCTCTTTCCGCGCTGCCATAATGAGGAATTTCCTAGATAATGTATTGCACTTGCCTTTTTTGGAACTCAGTGGTGGCTCCCACTCTGACATTTCCACAAGACATGTCCTTTCCAATTAAGGGAGCTGCCCACTGCAAGCAGGAATGGGCAATAGGGTAACAAAACATTTTAAGAAAAGTCCCACCCATATTTATTTATTCAAATGTATTATAGCCGCCTAACTCCAATGGACTCTGGGCGGCGTACAAAACTGAAAAATCCATAAAAACAGATAAAACAGAAAACCACACAGACAGCCCAGACTAAAACCATCTTATAAACCACACATACTGTATCTAACAAAACTATCAGTTGATAGCCCTGCTCAGAATGTGTGCCATGTTCCACACATGGAACATGAAGGACTTCCAGGAAGGACTACTACTTTTATTAGAAGAAAGGCTTCCTTGACCAAGTGTGCTGTTCAGAGTCCAATCTGTCACTTTTTATTGACTTACACTTGAAGAACAATCTTTAAGATCTCTGTTATCCATTCCTCACTCGGTTAGTAGCTGTAACAGATGTATCCCATTTCACATGGAATAGAGTCTACACCCAGTTTAAGACCCAGTTGTGTGTGAAGATCATAATTAGCAAAGCTTCACCTGGTGGAGGCATAACCATTTTTGTAGTAATTAAATTATTAGAAGTGTCTGTGAATATTCCACGGAGGTATATGAGCTGGGCCACGTATCATAAACCATCTAGATGAAGCAACTGCGCCCTGGGGATTCCACAGAGAACAAGACAGCAAAGTCTGGCTGATATATCCGGAGATCGATAGCACTTCAGAGGCAGGTGGACCCCCGTGTTCTCAAGCATTATAAATGTCCACTTTCTCCAGTAAGGGAGTAAGACCTTGGCTGTTTTAACCTATCCGCACAGCTCTTTTTAGAGGAAAACTTCCATTCCTCTTTTTCCTGATAAAACCTGTGACTGAACAATCTCCTCATCTCGGCAGTTCAAGTTCAAACAGAAATCAGGACGAGAACAGTGGAGCCTCCGTTTATCACCCTTGGTGAGTTGCACGTTTTGCAACGATTCCCTGTTCTGCTTTTTTCTAATGTTTCCAGTTCACTGGCACCATCATCTGCATGGTAAGATGGCATGAGAGATGAGAATGTAGACAAGGGTGGAAGTTGCTCCTCTGCAGACCTTTGATAGATTTCCATGTACAAATCTTATCCCGTACTGTTAAAGCAAACATAAGAATCAGTCGTTGCCTGCAAATGACTTGTCAGGATTAACAGGTTTTCCCGTTTTCCCACTGCCAGTCAGTGCATTATGATCTGAAATAGAAACCACTGATTCATTGACACCCCAGTTCTGCTGAGCAACAGATGCCCATATTGTGAAAACATGCAGAGAATAACATTATGCTCTTAGAATACAGAGAGGAAGTAGCACTTTTTAAAATCACTATCTAGCAAAAAGGCATGCTTTGTTAATTCCCACACAAAGGGCTACCTACAAACATGTGACAAGCAAGCAGCTAGAATACAGCGTTAACAGCGTTTCTTAAAAAAAGAGGGAAAAGAATGGAGAACTGAGAAGTCATAAAGCGCGGTGACTTAGCAGAGATGCTAGAAAGAGTATCTTTGTCCTACAGTATATACAAAGTCCGTCATCAGAGGTCCTACTCAACTGTGGCAACTGCAACCTCTTCACTGATGTGCTCCATTTTTTGAATGTTCTCTTCAGGATAAATAGTAGAGCTTACCTTTATGACCTTCCAAAGCTGAATAAAAAGCTTTCTAAAAAAACATTTTCTAAGACTTTTAAAACATCAGCTGAATTTTTGTTTTTCTGCCCTTCTTGCCCTATGATTATATTCCAGTTCTGCTCTTTGGTTCTTGTTACTGAAACCAATACTGAGTTTTGTGCCACCTTAAATTAATGCCTTTATTATGGTGTAAGGTTTTTATAGACTAGAAGAAAGGCAGGCAGATTTCAGGCTTTCTGGATCTAATTGAATATACAAAGTGTTTGACCCGCCACTTTGATCCAAATCGATCCTACCCTTGTGGTTCTTCTATGCTTACAGAATTCCCCATCAAATTCTTTCCATAACTATGCAAACAAAGGAGTGAGGGAGAAACTTTGGAGGAGTTACAGATTACTCTTCTCCCACTTACTACTTTTCCACTGCATTCATTCTGCATTATTTGGTTGAGATAGGATCTAAGGTTCCTAGCTGTGATTCTCGACAAATGAGGAAAAAATAGTCAGAGGAGAAGTTTTATGAACTCGGATGCAGGAAATGTCCTACCCTGCACATCTCCTTGCAAAGCGTTCTCATCACCTAATTTTGCATGCCTGTTTCAAGCAAGAGTGGGAATTCATGCTTCTATTTACTGCCAAATGCCTATTTATCCCTTACTGGGACACATAATTAAAGCTAAGATGTCAGGTCACAACCTTTTTGGAAAGAGGTGACAGCATGACATATGCTGAAGTACTGACAAGTTTATCAGCTTCTGAAGATTTTTCCAAATCAACTTAGCATCACGACAAACTGGAGCATTACCATGGTCCTTCAGCTTCCAGTTAAAGAAATGACCACATGAACTGAAAGAGTGAAAAAGGAATGAATTACCGATAATGGAATCCACTGTGTCAACTTTTGCAGGATCACCATGTAACTACCAAAAAGCACAGGTGGTATGAAGTAGGCTTTAGCTACTATAGATTGACCTATTGTTTAGTATAGGTCAGTTTTCCCTTACCTGTTGACCTCCAAATTGTTGGATTTTATTCCCTGTAGCCCCCTTGAACCATGCTGGTTTGTACTCCCACACATTTGGAGGGCAATAGATTGGGGAAAGCTGCTAGAGATCCTTGTATAATGTCAGAAGCAAAGTGAACCTTAAGAGCTATAGAACGTTAAGAGATTCTCCGTGTGGTAACAAGTCTTCAGTGTTTCAAGTCTTTGTGGTTTCAGCTGTGAGCTCATCCCAGTTTCCTGGGAAAAGCTAGAGTTTCTGAATATTCCTCTCTTGCTTTTAAGACCTATTGCTAACTGTGATGGTGAAAGGATACCAACCCTACGTTTTACAACCAGTTGCTTTTCTTAGTAGCTGAAAGGGTAGGCAAAATATTGGTGTCTAATACCATCTAGACATCGCTGAGGCAATATGAAGCCCGTCTTCCTTACAGCTGTTTTGGGACAATGATGGCTGTGCAAGACACAAGGGGAGGCCATGACAGAGCTGTGTGTGGTTGCTGTGGAGGAGAGAAGGAAAGACATTTAAAACAACGCCTACAGTCTGACAGCAGGAACAGAATACTGAAGGTTGCTGGGGAAGTGGGCTTGTGTTGTGGGGGATAAAGAGATGGGCCTGGAAAAGCAAAGCATTGTGCATTCCTATCCAACAAGCGAGATACTGCTCGCATTCCCTTCTGCCATCCACAAGGCAGTGTCTTCAAAAAAAAAAAAACTTAGCAGCAACCTGGTGCTTTGCAACAGGCAGCTCCCTCACAAAAGAGAAAGGAAAGGGAAATCTTGCCAGTTTCTCCCCAGCACTCACTGCCTAGACTACTGTGGCTGGAGGGAAAGGTGCAAGGACCTGCAAAGGGTCAAGAGAGTCCAAAATCACACACACACACACACACATTTTAAAGGTGAAACGCAGAATGGCGTTCATTTCTCTGGCCCTAGTCAGAAATCAGAATTGAATGGTTGCGGGGAAGGACCTCTGAATAGAATGCTATGTCAGCTCGAGTCTTGGAACCCGGGTGAGGCAAGAGTTTCTGAGAATTGCCAAAGTTCATCCCTGAAAAGGGAAGCATCACTTTTGGGGCATTTCAAGCACACCAGAGCTGAGTCAGAAATAATTTTACCCAGCTGCTGAACACAAATGATTGTGTAAGAACACAAAATCCCAGAACTGATTTTCAAGTGACATGCATAGATCTGCAAACAATATGCACCTTCCCCTATTACCAGTTCTCCATAGCTTGTCTCTGTCCTTTCTACATTTATGCCGTGAATAGGAACAGATCTAGCATTTCATCCCATTCCCCCTTTTGACCTGTGACCTTTTCAAACTGAAAAATCAAAATTAAAAGGACATTCGTTTTATAACAGAATTAACAATCCATACATATATTTATATACTGAAACTATTCATAAGCCTTTTATGAAAAATAAATTATAGGCTGGCTCACTAGGTTCTTTTTCTAAAGGATGAAAAACTCTAAGGATTTTTTTCTGCTTTGTTTTGCTGTCATGACATCTAAGCATGTCTTAGTCCTGTACAGTAAATAATTTAACACATTTCTCCTGAAATCATGATTTAAAACAAAAAAATTTTTTTTAGAAAATTTGCATCTCTACAGGTCTCTGGCAGGAGGTGACACTTTTCCAGGTGAAACATCAATTTCTTAAAGTCCATCCCAATTGTCCTGTTGTTTCAAAAGATCAAATCGCAGTTCTTCAAAAATTGCAAAGCAACACTGATAGAGAAATACTCGGATGAAACAATGTATGTGATTCTGTGTTTCTTATTTTTTGGATTATAAATATTTAGGACATGAACTGCAACAGCAGCAACCAATAATTTCACTAAAATAACTGTTAGAATCATAAGATGATCTTGTATATGTATGCTAATTAAACTCCCAGAACAGAAGGACATAATTAAACCATACACATAAAAAGTGGCAACTCGGGAATACGAACACCATTGTTTTAGTCTGGTGTGAATTTCTGTGATGCTTGTGAGCCCCCTTGCATATTTTCTTCATTTAGTGCAAGGACTGGCAATGTGACCCTCCAGATGCTGATAAATTCTAATTCTCCCTATCCCATCATCTTCCTGCCCAGTGAGGAGGGTTCATGGGAACTTCAGCCCAGCATTGGAGAGCCACACATTGACCCTCCCCCTTTTTTAATATCAGAATCTCTGTTTATTTCAGGTAACCTATGCCCTGTATAGGCTGACTTGATCACAGATTTTCTTATTTTCTGTTTGTATTACTTGTAGGATAGAGACAGTAATTTTGGATGCTTCAGGAGAACTGCACGGCAATGCTGAATTTTATGTTTTTGGCTTTTCCCACTCAACCACAGCATCAGACTTTACTTTTCTTGGGCATCAGCGTAGTTTATGCAACCATAATCACAGGTAACACACTGATTATATTAGCTATCTGGAGGGACCCTCATCTGCACATCCCTATGTATTTCTTTTTGGGAGCTCTCTCTGTGGTTGAGCTCTGCTATACAGCAGTTGTGGTCCCTCAGATCTTGGTGACCAGCTTGCAGAAGAAGAAGTTCATCACTTTTAGGAGCTGCTGCGCTCAGATGTTTCTTTTCATTGGACTAGGTAGTGCTGATTGCTTCTTGCTGGCTATCATGGCCTTTGACCGCTATGTGGCTATTTGCAGACCTTTGAGTTACATCCTCATCATGACCCAGCAGCTATGCATTCAGCTAGTAATTGCCTCACTGCTGATTGCTTTCCTGATTTCCCTGGTGCTGGTGTGGCTGGTCTTTCACCTCCCCTTCTGTGCTGAGCTTGGAATTGACCACTTCTTCTGTGATGTGCCACCTGTATACCAGCTCACAAGTAACAAGACTGAACTCAGTGAAGTTGGGGTACTCTTCTCAGGGATAATGGCCATTGCAGTGCCTTTCATATTGATCTGCACCTCTTACCTTTTCATCGCTGTTGCAGTGCTGCAGATCCACTCAGCCAATGCTCATCGAAAGACTATCTCTACTTGCTCTTCCCACCTAGCTGTGGTGGCCCTCCAGTATGGCTGCTGCAGCTTCATGTATTTGCGTCCAAACACCAGCTTTTCTCCAAAGCAAGACCAGCTACTCTCCATGGTCTACACTCTGGGCACACCATTACTCAACCCCATAATCTACAGTCTGAGGAACAAAGAGATGAAGGTAGCCCTAAGGAAAGTCCTCAGCCACCGAGTTTTTCAAAGGAATTTTGAATCCCATTGACTGTCTGCTCTCTTGCAGAATGGAGACACCTAAAGACACCTGAAATCCTGCATAGAAAAATTGTTTTGCACCTAGAGATGGACTATTTTTCTGGAGGTTGACTTTGATAACTTGGAAGGATGACTTCAGGAAAGTTAGACATTGAGGAAAATACTAGATCCCATATTTTGTGTTTTCATGATAGGGTAAATGCAGGGATGGGGGTACTAACAGGACAGCATCTGCAGGGGACAGCAGTGATGTAGCTCCTTCCTCACCCTTTGATTTTCTTCTGTAACTCCCCCTCCCAACAGCTCTTTAATCATTTTCTCAGCTGAGTGCTCAAATTAAGCCAAGCTGGTTGAGGATTTGCAAAGGAGAACAAGTATGCGTGGGGGGTGCGGGGGGGG